TCTGGGTACCTATCATTCAAGAATAAAAAGAAGGAAGGAGCCCCTGTCCTCGACTCCGTGCTACTGGCTTTCCACAAGTGGAGTTTACCTGACCATTCCCAGAGGTGACCTGACCCTTTCTACATTCCCCATATTATAACCTTCTGCTAAGATAATGCAATCTCTTATGGCTGAAAATTTTCATTATGCTACCTGACAAAGAAGTAACCCCAAATTGCTTTCTAAGGTAGAGGCAACAAAGTCTACAATGTCCTAAGTTAGTTTTGCTTAACTTATTTTAAATTTTAAAAAAAACGTACACAAACACTGACCTTGTGCTTTCACTTGTATTTTCCTTAACGATGTCCTTGACACAAAGTTGCAAAGGCAGCGCTTGCCAATTTATAGGCAACACTGCCCTGAACACAATACAGGGTTAAGTCTAGAGTCAGTAGGACCTGGACTCAAATCTGGCTCCTGGCTGACCTGTGTGTCTTCATGGCAGGGTCTATCCCATGTGGATGTGGTCCTGTACCCTCTGCTCAGTTCCAGGTGGGAATTCAAAGGCACAAGGAAGATGACACTAGGACAAGGTCTAGAACATGACTGGTGCTGCTCCTTAAGCTGTATGTACTACAGGGGTGATTACTACTAAGATAACTAATAATAGGGGTACCTGGGTGGCTCAGTCAGTTAATCGTCTGCCCTTGGTTCAGGTCATGGTTCCCGGGTCCTGGGATCAAGCCCTGCATCGGGCTCCCTGCTCAAGCGGAGAGTCTGCTTCTCCCTCTCCCCCTGCTCGTTATCTCTCCTGTCTCCCTCTCCCACTAACACTCTCTCTCTCTCTCAAATAAATAAATAAAATCTTTTTTTAAAAAAGGTAACTAATGGGGCGCCTGGGTGGCTCAGTGGGTTAAGCCGCTGCCTTCGGCTCAGGTCATGATCTCAGGGTCCTGGGATCGAGTCCCGCATCGGGCTCTCTGCTCAGCAGGGAGCCTGCTTCCCTCCCTCTCTCTCTGCCTGCCTCTCTGTCTACTTGTGATCTCTCTCTGTCAAAGAAATAAAATCTTAAAAAAAAAAAAGGTAACTAATAATAGAGTACAGTAGAAATCAATTTTGGTTCCTCTTATCTTGAAACTTTGTGTTGGGAGTGCCTTCAAGATTTGCTTGCCCAAACTATGTGGCCAAATAAATCTTTTACTGTATCGCAAAACCCAGAAGAGTCATCCTCAAAGAATATTTAAGATGACCCTCACCTATGTTTTAATCATGCGAGACTTTCTCAGAGGAAGTTAAATGTGCATAATAAATCCTTAGCCAAAAAAAAAAAAAAAATGAACCCTCCCTGAGAGTTCATTGCCACAGCGTCTCCTATGACAGGTGTACTCTCAGGCAGTAATCACAAGTTCAAATACTCGATGAGTCAGAGTTTCCTTTCACTAACACACAGGGTTAGGAACAGGTCACACTCTCTGAGTCAACGGCTGCTTTCAGCTTATAATTCAAAATCTGACCTTTTCTGAAAATGCTACTACGAAACATCACAATCCCTTCCATCGCTCATCAGTAGGAGGGAAGATTAGGAATAACTGGTCTGCATTTCAGAAGCCCAGCTGATCTGGGACTAAACCCATAAAAGCTATTTCAAGGAGGTTGAAGATCAGCAATTAATGACTCTTTCTAACTTTGATTAAAGCTCCATTCTCATGAACACCAACTATATTTATTCTGTACAAAGGAATTTGAAATAGAACTTGAAAAACAAACAGCCAGGAAAAGAAGTAAATCATAGGAGGAACCATAAATAAAAAAGAAACCTTTCTTCCCCCCCTCCCGACCCTGTGGAGAGTGCGCCATCTAGTGGGAATTCCTGATAAACGCAATCTTATTTCCACGGCTTCCCATGCGAAGACTTATTTTCCTTGTCACCATTGTTGTTGTTTTAACAATCTGTATGGGAGGATCCTTATGTAGAGTGTTATAAATACTGTTCCCGTGCAGCTCAGCTCTAGCACCTCACGTCTGTACCATGTACGTCCCCCAGTTAAGCAAGAGAGCTATCTGCTCTAGGTACCCTTCCAACTCCACAAGCCGCAGAGTATTTTTAGGTGCATTTTTCACTGAAATAAACCTCCATAAATTTTCATGTGAGACTTTGAAAACTTTTAGCTCCAAAAACAGAGTCAAAGTTTAAAAAAAAAAAAAAAACACTTTTGTAGCTTTAACTCTAAAGCGTCATCTCCAATGTTTCCTTCCCCTTGGAGTTCAACGAGGTGAGCGCGGAAGATGGACCCGGAGCCTGCCACCAGCTCCCCGTCACTGCTACATGTGCTTTTCATGTGTCCTGCAGAGGATGAGCGGCTCTTAACGGAGAGGACAAAAGGTGCATCTGGAGGAAGCAGGCTCGCAAGTCTTTGCAGCATCTGCCTTAAGACTCAACATACTTCATGGACATCACCGCACGAGTTGCCCTGTGGCGTGGGCATTGATAAAGAAAGGCATGTTCCGACGGTCTATTTAACAGAGACAGCCACACCTTTTTAAAGAAAATCAGATCAGTAGATGTGACGGTAGCAACAGTCCTCTTCACAACAATATGTGTCCAGACGGTGATCTTTCCCAGATATACTGAATGCTGACTTTAAGGAGGAAACTCAGAAGGGCCACTGATTTGGGAAGAGTTAAAAAGGTAGCAACTTGAGATTCATACTGCTGACTGCAAATAAGCCAAATGATTTAAAAAATTATGGTCCTTAAGGCACATCCTTACCCAATAAAGATTAGACCCCAACCCCAACTCATCTATCAGACAAATACAAACTCCTCGAGACTTGTCAGCACACTGTAAAGAGTGAGAAGACGCACACAACACAACCAGCATGATTTATAATGCCTTGTAACTTGCAAAACAGCTTGTTTTATTATGAAAGGACATGATGCCTGTGAAATTCTCATACAAATGTTCCAATTGATATTTTTATGAATCTGGGGTTGTGGTGTTTATTTTTTATTGAGGAATGTTGTTTTGTTCCCATTAGATATTTAGAATACATTTTAATAAAATAACCTCTTTGTTCAAGGGACTTGAATGATTCATGGTTTTCTGAGCTCTTTCCTGTTGGAGCTTCTCACAAAGCAACCCCTGACTGTTTGACTTTCTAAACAGCCCGAGTGATTCCAAACTCTCTTTAGCAAAGAGAGATGAATGCTAGAACTGGACCTTAAGAAAGAAAAGCTTGTTTTCTCCCCCACGCTCACACACTTGGAGTGATGGGTCCAAACCTCAGAACCAGAAGTTCAACTGTTCTTTGCCTGGAAGATTAGACTCTGGTCCTTTACTCTTCAGGGGTCTGCGTCGAAATACTAAGTGCACGTGTGCAAATACACACAGACACACTCCCTAAACCAATTATCTGCTATCGACATGGAGTTCTTGCTTGGAAGCAAGATTCAGAACACAGAAATCCACCAGATGTTTCTCCCTCGAGCCTCCTCTTGAACCCCTGACCCAGGGGTTCCGATCTGATGCTTTTCCTCCCAGGGAGAACGTCTCCCACTGGAGATGCTCTGTGTAGTGAAACAAGGGCCAATTCCAGGGACTGGGTTTGTAGCGCAGCTGTTAGAGGCCATATTCCTTTGGCACAAGCTTCTTTATAGTTCTGGGTTTGATTTCCTCCTTTATGAGACGAGAGGATTTGATTTAAAAAAAAAAATTTCTGGTGCCCTAGGAACTTCAAATTTCCATTTCTTTTTTTCTTTGTTTTCTTTTTTTTTAAAATGACTTTCATTTCTTTTTTTGTTTTCTTTTTTTTTAAATGACTTTTAACTGAGCTCCCATGCTCCAGTACTGGTGTTTTTTCTTCTGAATTTCTGTTGTTTGGGAGCAGAATAGACCCCCGAAGTCCTTCGCTTTAAATAAGACACAAATTTGATAAGGTCTTAACCTCTTGACTACTCTTCCCCATTCAACATGATACACTGTACCTACACTCCTGGATATAATACCTTCAGAGAAATGGGATGGGAGTAGTTTAGAATGTCATGGTGAGTTAGGAAATGGCAAATTCATCCTTTTGCCTGGCCCTGTGCCCCACCGGCAGTCCCACATCACAGCAGTGGCCACCATGCAGGCCTCCCCGTTGCCCCTCCACCCCGTTCCAGGAGCTCAGCACCCTTGAGATCCCATTGCCCCTCAAAACCCCTCACCTCTCACATTGGCATCTCTACTCTGCAGCCCCATAAACTTCTCTACCTTGACGTCTTAACCAGCAAGACCCATTCTCCACCCAGCCACAGATCTACCAGGGAGCTCAGGTCAGTGCGCCCAGCTCCCTCTAGCTCCAGTCTCGCACCTACTTTTCTCCTAAATGGGGCTGACTCTCCTCACTGTGTCCTTCTCCTTCTGATCCAAATCTGGACCCATCTTCTTGGGGAGATGCATCGGGTAGGGCAGGTGGCAGAAACACACAGGACGCAAAGGCATTCCACAGCTCACCCCCTTCACGACTTCCTCCCCCCCAATCCCATCCCATGACCAATGCACCTGCATCTGAGCCAATGCTTTCTGCCTCCGGAGCAGAAAATGAGCTCTCCAGTTTATGCGTGTGGTGTGTCTTCATCCTTCATGCAATTTCATCGGTTACTAATGAATAACGATTGCCAAATAATACTTCCCATTATTTCAAGACTACCAAAGGTTAGGAATGCATAACTCACATTCTATCCAAAATACCCGAAGGAATATAAAAGTTTATAATGCACTAATCATTTAAATCTGATTTGACAACTAGGAAAACAGAAATGTAACTTCATACACCCACACAGACACCTACTCAAGCCCCAGCATTCAGTAATACACTGTTACGATCTTGTTACACCAAAGGTTGTAACCTAACAGTACCCAATTATTTCCTTTGACTCACCACTTCTTCTCCAAAAAATAAGAAGAAAATTTAAGACTGCTAAAATGACATCACAACCTGAAGACAGAATTACTACATAGAAAACATGCAGTCACTTACCGGTGTGCACGTAAATTACTCAGGTGAAGTCCGTATTTTTCTTCAGCAGATAGCCCATCCATCAACAAGTAGAAAATGAGGAAATTGCTCTGGCCAAGCGGCTGTGAAACCAATCTGGATTTCTCGAGCATGTATGTATAAATTCTGGCTGGTTAAAGAAAAAATAAAAAGTGATCCCATTAAATGGCATTACTAGTTCCATTTCCATACATTTACACAAACTAATTAATTGCAAGAGATAATAAAACAGCCATTTTCAAACATAGGACTTTTGAAAAATATCTTTAGGCTCTATTTTTTAGAGCAGTTTTTAGGGTTGCAGAAAAATTTAGCAGAGAATCCTGAGAGGCTCCAATGTACCCGGTCTCTCCTTGCCAATGCACGGTTTCCCCTTTAGCGACATCTTGCATGAGTGCAGTAAATTTGTGAAAACTGAGGACCCAACACTGTTATGTCATTATTAACCAGAGTCTGTAAAAGTATGTTGGTGCTCCCTCTTTGCGTTGTACACTCCATGGGTTTTAAGAAATCCGTAATACCACATGTCCAATACAGACTTATTTCGTTGCCCTAGAAATCCCAGGCTCCACTATTCTCCCTCCCTCCCTCCCTAACTCCGGACGCCCACTGCTCCTCTTCCATGTCTCCGTCAATTTGCCTTTCCCAGAACGTCGTGCATTTAGAATCATGCAGCATGTGAACTGTGCAGGTTGTCATCATTTCTGTTTCTTTCACTCAAGAATATGTATTTAAGGTCTTCTTTGTCTTTTCACAGCTTGATCGTTTACGTCTGTAGTCCATCATATGCGCACACTATGGCTCATTTATCTCCTCACCTATTAAAGGACATCCTGGTTGCTTACAGTTTTTGCAATTATGAATAAAGCTGCTATAAACATTTGTGTCCACATGATGTGTGGACATAAGTTTTCCACTCAGTTGGGTAAATACCACGGCATGTGATTCCTGGATCGTATGGGAAGACTATGTTTAGCTTTGTAAATACCACCCAACTGTCTTCCGAAGTAGCCGCACCATTTTGCATCCCCACCAGCAATTAACCAGGGTTCCTGTTGCTCCACGTCCTCTGGCCAGTAATTAGTGTCGTATGTGATATTTCAAATATTCGTACGAAATATTTCAAATACTCTAATATTTTTGCAGTGGTATTTCCTTTTTGTTCTAACTCTCATTTCCTAGATTGCTTATAATGGGGACCAGCTTTTCACACGCTTATTTATGTTCCGTTTGTGTATCTTCTTTGGTGAGGCGTCTAGACATTTTGACCATTTTTTTTAAAGTGGGCTGTTTGTTTTCCTGTTGCTGAGTACTAAGAGCTCATCGCAACTTTGGGCTAACAGTCCCTTATCTGTTGTGTTTTTGCCAATATTTTCTTCTTACCTGTGGTTCATCATTTCATTCTCTTCACAGTGTCCTGCACAGAACAGTTGTTTTTAACTTTAATAAAGTCCAGCTTACCAATCATTCCTTTCATGGGTTGTGTTTTTAGTGTATATTGAAAAGTGATTGCCAAACACAAGGTCCCCTAACAAAAATTTATCTTATATTATCTTTTAAGAAGTTTTACAGTTTTGTTTTTGCAGTTAGATTTATGATCCATTTCGAGTCATCTTCTTCTTCTTTTTTTTTTTTTTTGGCATGTGAATGTTGTGCGGTTCTCGCATAAACTGTTGAAATGATCATCATTTCTCCATTGAATTACCTTTGTTCCTTTGTTAAAGACCAGTTAACTACATTATGTGGGTCTGTTTCTGGGCTCTCTGTTCTGTCCCATTGTTCTAACGTCTGTTCTTTCACCAGCTCCGCACTGTCCTGATCCCGACAATTTTAGAGTAAATCTTGAAGCTGGGTAGCACCAGCCCTTCAACTTTGTTCTCCTCTTTAAATTGAAGTTGTGTTGCCTATTCTGGATCTTTTAATTCTCCATATAAACGTTATATCAATATCCACAAAGTAATCTGCTGGGATTTCTATTAGGATCTTGTTGAACTTATAGATCAAATTGAGAAAAATGGATATCTTAACAATATGGAGCTTTCCTATCCATGAACATTGAATATTTCTCCCTCTGTTTAGATCTTCTTTGATTTTTTTTAACAAGAGTTTTATAGTTTTCCTTATAAAGATCTTATAAATATTTTGTTAGATTTGTACCTAAATAGTTCATTTTTTGGTGGTGGTGGAAATAATACGTTTTTAATGTCAAATTCTAATCATTCATTGCTGATATATAGGAAAGAAATTGACTTTTGCATATTAATCATGTATCCTGAATTGCTGGCTTACTAGTTCTAGGACATTTTTGTTGTTGTGATTCTTTCCAAATTTCTACAGAGATAATCATGTCATCTTTGAACAAAGACAGTTTTATTTCTTTCTTCCCAATCTGTATATATACATATATTTTTCTTGTCTTACTGCATTAGCTAGGACTTCTAGTACAATGCTGAAAACAAGTGGTGAGAGGGACAGTCTTACCTTGTTCTTGACCCAACATGGAACTTTTGTGTGCAAACATAATCTGACACAAAACATGTCCTTGGGTATAACAACAAAGGCACCCAAAAAAGTTTTAGAATTTTCTTCGTTTTGTGTAATTTGAAAGCACAAAGTCATACAGATAATGGAATATATATATGATATACATATATATATTTATAAAATATTCTGCTGTAGACCCCAGCAAGTATTACTGTTGACCAGATCAGAAGTGTATAGGGCCACATTATAGAAGGACCAAAACATAGACAATAGTTTCTCACTGTTGCAAACACTGGAAGCAACCCACTGCAGGAAAGGCAAACATGACTTGAATCTATGCAGACGCAATTTAATATATAGAAGGTATATTAGGAAAATTTCAAGACCTATACTGAAATCATATAAAGGAGCCAAGTTATGGCTTCTAGCCTGATGGTAGATAATGAAACAGATGCTTTGATAATAAGGTTTGTATCCCAACTAAGGAATAAGACAGATGATGTGTTTATTTAGTTTTTAAAAGATTTTATTTATTTATTTAAGAGAGAGATAATGAGAGAGAAGGAGAGCATGAGAAGGGGGAGAGGGTTAGAAGGAGAAGCAGACTCCCTGGTAAGTACAGAGCCCAGTGAAGGACTCAATCCTGGGACTCCAGAATCATGACCTGATCCAAAGGCTGTCACTTAACCAACTGAGTCCCCCAGGTGCCTGGTGACATGTTTGTAAAGTATCACATGCTCAGGGTCAACAGTGTCTAGCCATCTTGTGGTTTTTGTGAACTCACATACCCTGTAGCAGAACACCTAAATTCATTATTTGAGGTTTTCATCTTTAAACATTACAAAAATACAAACAAAAATAACCCATGTCATGAGAACATGTTGTTGACCTTTTATTTCATAGAAGCTGAACAATGACAAAAGGATAAAGGATGGGAATCACAAGCCTGATTTTGCTTCCAAGATAGACTAGCAAGACAGAAATTACTGTCAATCAACACTTATGGTTAAATGTTTGACAGGCTGAAAATTCTAGTTTTTCTGGAGTATTTTTTTAACTTGTAAAACAGTAAATGATTAAGCATTCCAATTTCAAATGCAACTGTGAATTACTGTAGTTTCCCACTCTGAAGTAAGGATCCATGGTCAATAAATAAATAATTTTTGATCAAAAGGTGGCAGTTCCTTGGAAGTCAAATGGACAAAATTATACCCTACATTTGAACTAGAAACGTCACCTTGTATAATGAGTCTGCCAATAATTATTCTAGAGTCCTGCCTTCAAAAGCAAAAATGTGAGGTCTCCCAGTGTTGGTTTTATATAGCAAATCTACTGGAAAAAATGGAACCACTATTATGTGCTTCCCTCTGATAAAATTCATTAAGTGATCAGTTCAGCCCGTCATAATGATTATCAGTGCCAAAAGAACCCAAAAAACCCAAAACCTCAAAATTAATAGTATTAAGAAAAGTTGTCTTACTAAAAACCTTTTAGAAAAGTTGTTGTAAGTGCATAAACAAAGTCTCTTTCAAAATAATCCCTTTAATTAGTTGCCCAAAGGTGATGCTAAAATTAGAAGGGGGTATTATAGTTTCTTTCCCATCTCTCCTTGAGTATGAAATCAGGTGAGAATTTCAAGGAGAGGTCTTAATTACTACACTTTTTTTCCTCTCTTTTTTTCTTTCTTAAGCAAATTATTTGCTGAAAACATTTTCCATGTAGCATTAATAACATAAACCCTGTTCAAGGGAATGTTTTCTAAAATCACATTGGAAATAAACTGCAATGGTTGTTCCTACACACTATTTTTCAGCCCTCATCCACGGAAGTACTGAGAGGGAATGGAGAGCTGAACAGTTGTCTCCTGACCATCATGCTCTGTATTCAGAGAAAAGGCTGATCCCACGCCCATTTGTCCCAGCCAAAATCCAAGCTTCCTTTAGAACAGCGTTCAAAACTAATCAAATTCCACATCATAGAGTGACTTCAATACCTTTAATCTAAATTCAAAAGCAGTGTAATTAGTAATCATCCCAGTCAGCTCATCTCCTGCAGTGAATAAAATTGCTGTGGGTTAGCGGGATTCTGATCAGTAGGATTTTGAAAAAAAAAAAAAAACTTAAAGGAGCTTTTAGCTAGAAGAAAACACAAAACAACCAAAAATTCAAATTTCTGTGAGACTCTAATATTCTTCCAAATGGAGAAAATGCCAGCCTTTCTGCTGTATCTGAAATGACACTGAAATAAAGGAAGGAAAATGATAGGTACGGAGTTAAGGACGTTTGATTCGTTCATGTAAATGTCCACACAGAAGGAAAAGGCTAACTGGTTTTGTTTTTTTTTGTTTTTTTTTTTTACTTCTCAAGACCTCCTGTATGCCTTAAAAGATGTCTTATTTCAGGAATATTCCTGACTAGAAATCGATCTGTGATCCTCTATCTTTCTGGAAATCTACAGATGAGTATGCTGCTCAGAAAGTTCTGGCACTGTAAAGACGTACATGTTTGCAGATTATATAGGACATAATATGCAGTAAAAGTATCTTATAGACATATTAATTTTTCTTCAATTATAAAAGAAAATGGAAGAAATAAATCTCTTCTCCTTCAAGAAAGACAAATACCTACCCTTATGGCCCTTCCCTTT